AAATGCTTCAGAATATCAAGTAGACAAGTGTGCCCCAGTGCACAAAGTAAGGACCATACCATAAAGACATGGTTGGATGAGTTTGGTGTGGAAGAACACAGAGCCCTGACCTCAATCCCATCCAACACCTTTGGGCTGAACTGGAACGGAGATTGTGAACCAGGCCTTCTCGTCCAACGTCAGTGCCTGGCTTCGCAAATGCTCTACTGCATGAATGGGCAAGAACTCCCACAGAAACACTCCAGAATCTTACAGAAATCCTTCCTAGAAGAGTGGAAGCTGTTACAGCTGATTAGCTCCATATTAATGTCTACATTTATGTCTATATATTTAGAATAGTCCTTGTTGGTTAATGTTCAGGAGTCCCAATATTTCTCTCCACATAGTGTATACCCTGGACAATGAAAATCTTGGATTTATTCATTTCCATGACGTTTCCAGATCTGGAAGATGTTAGACAGGACTAAAAAGGAGCAGAGATTTAGTCCACACCAGAGTTTATGTTCTGGCTCATGTGAGTGCTCAACCAGTGGATCACCATCACTAACTAACACTGTGTGTTCTGTGAGCTTTACCCTGTTAGGCGTGTGGATGGGCGAGAGAGAGTCCAGATCCGTCATGGGGAACTCCAGGCCTCTCCGCCGCAGATCCTCATAGACGTTCACCACTCCAGACAGAGACGGATTGTTCCGGAAGGCATCGGCCCACGCCTGCAACACAGAGACAAACGTCAAACCTCGCCAGAGCCACTGCATGAATCAGAGCTGCGGTGAGAGCGCTTCACCTGGATGAGACTCAGGACTCTGTCGTGAAGGATCATGGGAGGGTTGTTTTTGGGCAGAATCGCTCTGACCAGAACGCCCTCCACAAACTCCAGAGAACAGATGTACACATGGAAACGATGGCCACAGTTCTTCACGCACGTCTCAAGAACCTGGAACACACAACAACACTAACAACACAACACGCTATGAAACACACACACTCCTGCAGAGGAAGTGATGTCACAGATACTCACGGTCAGAGCCAGCATCACCTCCCTGAAGTTCTTATTACCCACAATCCTCTTCTTTAAAGCTTTCACTGCATCTTTGGGTCTGGAAAACAACACAAGCATTCAGACGACAGAGAACGAGCCAGTGAGCGTATCTGGTGTATCTGCAGTAAGTGTGAGTGATGCAGCACCCGTCATCCGTCTCGTTGATGATGTCACAGATCTCCAGGTTCAGGCTCCAGTCCTCCGTCTGAAGAGCAGCACTGGTGGCTTTCTCTGACACAAAATTATTAATTTCATATGAAAAATAGATATGCAAAATATAAATTCATAAAAATGCAGAAATGATTCCACAAATCACAGAAAAATGAGATGTCACACCGCAGTCATGTTTTTATTGATCTATTAGGGAGTAAAACTATCTGTCGTCTGTGTGTCTGTCATCTGTCTGTTGTCTGCGTGGCTGTCATCTGTCTGTCGTCTGTGTGTCTGTCGTCTGTCTGTCGTCTGTGTGTCTGTCATCTGTCTGTCGTCTGTGTGTCTGTCATCTGTCTGTTGTCTGTGTGTCTGTCATCTGTCTGTTGTCTGCGTGGCTGTCATCTGTGTGTCTGTCGTCTGTCTGTTGTCTGTGTGGCTGTCATCTGTCTGTCGTCTGTGTGTCTGTCGTCTGTTTGTCATCTGTGTGTCTGTCTGTTGTCTGCGTGGCTGTCATCTGTGTGTCTGTCGTCTGTCTGTTGTCTGTGTGGCTGTCATCTGTCTGTCGTCTGTGTGTCTGTCGTCTGTTTGTCATCTGTGTGTCTGTCTGTTGTCTGCGTGGCTGTCATCTGTCTGTTGTCTGCGTCTGTCTGTTTTCTGTCTGTCTGCTGTCTGTCTGTCGTCTGTGTGTCTGTCGTCTGTGTGTCTGTCATCTGTCTGTTGTCTGCGTGGCTGTCATCTGTCTGTCGTCTGTGTGTCTGTCGTCTGTCTGTCATCTGTGTGTCTGTCTGTCGTCTGTGTGTCTGTCGTCTGTGTGTTGTCTGCGTGGCTGTCATCTGTGTGTCTGTCGTCTGTCTGTTGTCTGCGTGGCTGTCATCTGTCTGTCGTCTGTGTGTCTGTCATTTGTCTGTTGTCTGCTTGGCTGTCATCTGTCTGTCGTCTGTGTGTCTGTCGTATGTGTGTCTGTTGTCTGTGTGTCTGTCTATCTGTCTGTGTGTCTGTCTCTGTTGTCTGTGTGTCTGTCATCTGTGTGTCTGTCGTCTGTCTGTTGTATGCGTCTGTCATCTGTCTGCGTGTCTGTCTGTCTGTCACCTGTCTGTCTGTGTGTCTGTCTATCTGTCGTCTGTCTGTCATCCGTGTGTCTGTCTGTCATCTGTCTTTCTATCTGTTGTCTGTCTGTAATCTGTGTGTCTGTCATCTGTCTGTCTATCTGTTG